TGATATGATTATTATTGAAGTATGGAAAGAAGTCGTATAAAAATACGACAAATGGCAGCACAAAACGTAAATTATACCTATACCAATATATGTAACTGTGATAAGAATAGTAACAAAGTATGGTTTGGAATCGCTCAATCAGACCAAAACATGGTACTTCAGTGCTTAACAGCTTAACAGTATCAATGATGTGTTAGTGATGAAAGTAGGGCACGAAATTGTTAAAAATAGGAAAGCATTGTTCTCCAAAGTAGCGAAGTGGTGCTGAAAAGTTACTGTATAAAGATGCTGAATATTTTTATGATATGATACTAGGAATTATTAAGTAACAAAGCATGTTTCGAAATTGCTCAGAAACATGGTACTGTGAGGATGTAGATTGACAAAATAAGGTGCGGATGAGAGAGGGGAAAAGTAAAGGCGCATGATTTTAAACTCGACTTTACTCGGATGAGTGTACTTTGATAAACAGATATCATCAAAATCCAAGTATGGAAGAACGACAACCTGTTTCAGCAGTGATCATCCTATACAGTATGCAATACTGTAGTGGCTAGTAATTGGCGCTGAGAAAAAAGCTTCTTTCTCCTTCCCATAATGTTAGAAATGCCCCAGAAAACTGATACTTTGCCTCATGAAAATGAGATGATTTGTTTGAGTGTAACTAGCTTACAGCACAGATCTGATGCCGGGTAAAACCTTTTGTTTTTACAAGTTATAAACGTAAAGAATTGAGCCACATATCTATAGTATTTCTCAAAGCTTCCATACTACTTATCAATAAACACTACTTCTGACTTTGCTGAATGAATCAAAGATCTCTTTTTTGCATCGTGACTCTAAGCGGCAGATTAAATGTACCCTAGAGACACTCCAGCTGACCACTCAGGACGTTTGAGATTTTGAGGTCAGTCTATCAAGCTCTGAGGCCACACATAGACAATTTTGTTGGTCGAACCTGTGACAATCTCTGCTTGCTGATCACGGTTGACTCCTTCAAAAAGCGTAGCTGATTGTTGAGCTTCAGAAGCCTCAACTGTAAACATCACTTTGGTGGTCGATGGTAGCGAGATCACATGCCTATTTGTTTTATATACCAGTGGGACGAGATCGCGAGTCCAGCTCTGTCTGTGCGCCATCATGGCAGATGCTGTATGAGGATGTCGTGATGAATAATACAGTCATGAGTATGCGCGATTTATCGCTGTATCATGAAAATGTTGATTCTCTTAACATCAAGACGACAATGAACAACGTTTGAAACCACGAATACTTTGCATGTGCGATATGACTCCATAATGGAGAGTAAGTCATTACCGATGGCTGTTTGTATTTAACAATGCGATATATATTTGAATAATCTGCAACTCTTTCTATCCAAGCCCGTAGTGATTTTATGAACGACTCTCGAGTTGTCAACCGTTCTAGGTTGAAGAAGTCAAGAAATTATTTTCTGACGATCAATGGTGAGATCGCGTTACCACCAAACCATCCGTAAGCATTTTTTGAGAGTAGCATAACCGTAGTCATACATGCTCTAACTAAACTTGGGTTGGCAACCACGGAAAAAGGGATGTAAGAGCTAAGAAGTTATTACTTCTGCAGTTACTATATGAGATAGAAATCTAAGTCAGAAGTATCAAATACATTTGTCGGCCGAGAGGTTCTGTCGACCACTCTACGTGGAGCTTGACTTTCATACTTCTCGAACGACAGCAAAGGGAAACACGAGGCGGATAATCTTGTCATGTAGCGACTGGTGGCATCATGACGCTGCTAATTGCCGAATGGTGATCCAGCTCGGCCGAGAACTATTGTTTCGGGTACTCCTCCTCACACACCCTTGTAGTTTTGAGCTGGTGTTATGTAGCATTTAGCGCCTCTTAAAAGCAAATGTACGATCCAGATGGAATTTGTACCTGATTGAAGAACCTCCAGTATACGGTGTCTGCTACCGATTTTGGAAAGACAATGGCTATGATAGCCCACAACCATTAAAATATTCCTTTGTTCCTTGACCGGTACTTAAAGAACTTGGACGGCATGTGATAGGCCTGATTATGCAATACCAATACTCGTTACTTGAGCCATTTCACATTGATTATGCCTCACGAATCGTTTATCATTGACCGTTGTGCTTTGCTTAATGATAATCTAACTGAACCTTTAAATATGTATACGCTTCAATGCTTCCCCGTTGCGTAATCAAACTGCATCTTTCTACAAATTTTGATCTTGCGGTGAGCAAGCAGTATCAAGCTATGCATGCATCCGGTGTGCTTGGCTAGTTTGAAGTTAGTCGCCTCGTTTGATTGTGACTAATTTCCGGAAACACGTCAATCGGCGATGCTTATCAACTATACTTTCAGTGCGCGATTTGGATTTGAATAGGAACGTTTGACGAAATCATCCACAGCATCGCCCAAAGATTGCCGAGAATTGTCACCGAGTCTGTTGATCGTAGCTCACCATAACGGTCGTTGAAGGACATTAGCCGCGGTCTCCATTTATCGTCAAGCACGCACACTTGATTGGTACATCGCATCTTGTATTAATAGATGTGTGCCATCAGTGCGAGTTCGTAACTACAGTCCCATGGTATCCCAATGCTGTGAGCGTGGGCGATATTTTCACGCTGAATACCGTCGAACGATCTACTTACAAGTTTATCGATACCGTTGTCTACTATAAAGTCGAACTTTGGTTCATCAGCTGAATTGTTTGACTTTTATTCAAATTCAGTGAAGGAATTCCACATTTAAACTGCTTCGACTGCATGTTCGAGTTTAGATACCAGCTACCTTAATTATTCGGAGTGGGGCGTTCCTCAGTCCAATGACATGTTTATTCTTGCCTCGATACCGGATTTTGCGCGCATCATTTATCGCTCTTCCTTTATGTCTAGCATCCCGTCACTTCAGCGCTGTAAACTGCGCCAGCGTGAAGGTGGTCTGTCGCATGATTGCTGTAGGCTCAGTCCTGCAGTACAATCTAGGTAGGATCCGTAATAAAAGTGTGCGGATGTCAACAAAGGAGCAACCTTTCAAAAGGCCGTCAAGGTGTTCATTAATGTTTGGAGGCAGGATATCCTAACGTTCTCTCAACCAGTCGGTCACAGTAAAAAAGCAAGCAATGAATTTTTATGTTTATCATCCCGACGCTACTTCGACCGTATCGTAATAGTGATCTATATTGTTTTTCTAAATCTCGAAGGGCATGCGAGAAATATGCAATATATAGTACCATACATTCCTCCCATAGTCTCAGCCATGTTCCGTCTACAATACACTAATGCACTCAAGCCGGTGCTTGTACTCACGGCGATGATGGTGCTCAATGAGACCTACATAAATTCCAGCGCCTATGGGTCCACCAAGAAGTGGACCGAAGATAGGAACCCAAAAGTAGGAGTCGCGAAAGGTGAAAACTCTCGATCCCCATCCCGCACAATAGGTAAACAGACGAGGGCCAAAGTCACGCGCGGGATTGATAGCAAAGCCAGAATTCATACCAAATGCCATACCAATGGCCACGACCACTAGAGCCACTGCAGTGGGCTGTGAATACGGACTAGCAGGTTTGTTAAGCGGGTCACCGATAGCAAAAATGCAACCCATGAGTAATGCTGAGCCAACAACCTCTGTCAGAAAGCATGTGAAAACTGGAATATCGTCACTGTATGGGTATGTTGCAAATACAGCTCCGGTTGACGTCTTCTCGGGGTCTATCACGTCGAACATTGGGTAATACACTCCCCACACAACAAATGCCGCAGCGAAAGCACCAAGGAGTTGCGAGATGATGTAGTATGGAACCTTATTCCACTTCATACGACCAAAACATGCCAGGGTTGTAGTAACTGCTGGATTCAAATGGGCACCCGAGACTCCACCAGAAATGTGGATACCAAAGAACACACCGAGACCCCAGCACAAGGTGATGTTGATATAATCGCCTTTCGTGCCCTCCCCCAGCACGACTTGAGCAACGGCACCATCACCGAACATGATCAACACCATCGTGCCTAGAAATTCGGCAAAACACTCGCGAACGAGAGAAGATTTGACTTGAAATGGTTTTAAAGGCTTGTAGTTCATGGTTGAATCTGATCTATGCACCTCAACAGAACCGTTTTCGATCTTACCGCTACTAGTCGACATTATGGCAGGATCGTTGAATCAAGTGAAGCTTTAAGACCAGCACGCTATTTAAAAAGTGAGATATTTCGTAAGCCACACTGGTAGTCAAACCTTGTTATCTTGTCAAGATATTCTTCGAAGCAAGTCGAAAAGATAAAGCTCACGGACTGTATTGACCAGCCGTTTCTGCTTCTTCATAGAATTCAGGGCGAATGCGTTTAGTTGATGGAAGAACGACATTTATCAGATGGACAGCATTACTTCAGATGTAGACAAGGCATCATCCGCATATATTGAATACAATATGAACGCAAGGAAGTAATTTGATGTCAAGCAGCAGGCGTTGTATTCTATTAAGCAAGGCCGGGGTTTTTTGATCGGAATGAATGGGCACCATATCTTTTATTGACCACTTTGAACACCATGAGATTGTTCAGTTAAAAGGACATTTCGTCGCAACCCTTATCTTGCTATAAAATTTCGACTCATGATCTCTTAACAAAATTTCTCTGTCACCTATTCCATCACAGCTGATAAATAAGTAACTCATGCAGGGCAAAAGCATGAAGTTTGCATAAACAGATATTGTTCTCGATTAGCTCACATGGTCGTTTTAATGTCAAATGTTAAGCGAGTTGAAGTCATGAGTGGAGCGTCTACATACGGTGCCTGACCGACCCATATGCTTTTAGTATTACGCGACATTATGCTACTGAACGTCTACTCCTTTCACTCAGGCATTTGGATTTACCTTAAAGTACACAATTGTCACTCTCGTTGAATATCGTCAATTTAACAAGGATAAACAGTGTTGGTAGCTGATAACTCTTCTATCTCCTTCAGCATAACGACAGAAAACACATTTTGCAAGTGTACCGATTGTCGTTATGTTGATCTCGCATTTGGTCCTCATATTCAGGAACTGGCTTACATGAAAAACTCTATTGCCGGTCTACAGCTTTCTCCATAGTTTGAATTACGATCGATAATAATCAGCTTTAGTATGCTTCTGCCTACAAGCTTAATGACAACAAATACCAAAGACAGAGTCTCAAATGCGATTCGATTGTAGAAAATGGGCGCGTGTCTACATCTCAATTGCTTCTTACTTTTGTTTTAAATTATCGATTCTGATGATAATGTATTATTTTCTATATTTTAAAGTTTCGAATTGAAAAATGTACCTCATAAACACAATAACTTAATTGGGTAACCTGCAATTTATAGTCATTACAGCAGGAATCTCGTGACGACTATTCTTAGTGAGACTGACGCTTCCTCACATCCATGAGCTCCAAGCAAACCTCATCTAGTCTTCCACTTAATAATAAACGCTGTACGAGCTGTCGCACTTCAAGGTCGGAGGACGAGATACATCCACACAATGCTGGATACAATTCTAGAATACTGTGTGGCTGGAAGTCTGCTTCTAATGCGCTGGTTAAGAGCTCCACTGCTCTTTCACGGGCTGCTACGACCTGGTAGTTGTCACTCAGAATCAACGGTTTTGAATTCGTTGACGTGCTTATACTGCGTGATTTTGATTGTGAAGATGGATCCAACTCGGTAAATCGAACCAACGCCGTATTGCAACATGCTACTAATCGAGTTCGTGCGAATGACGCTAGCTCCTCGTCTGCTATTTGGATACATAGTGTCGTTAATTGACGTACGCAGCACCGAATCATAGGTTTTTGATGCTCTACTGCATCCACACCTGAGCACAGCACATCAACCAGCTCAGCAATAAACGCACGATACTGTTGTCCAGTTCGCATCTTGGCGTCACTATTATCGCTAAGTAATGCAATCGTACTGTCCACCACGCACTCCAAAACACTAAGCACTAACACTTCATCTTCTTCCGACTGCACACACGACGGAAATTTTCCTCCATGTGGCTGCACAAAGCCTGCAATCGTCTCGAGTAATGGACGCCAACACGCTTCAGCCAGTCGGACCGCTACAAGACCACTTGAAATCAGCACTAAAAGGACACGCAGCGCATACTTCCACAGCTGCGTCGCTGCTTTCTGCGCTGCACTTATCGGTTTGTCAGTAGCTGTAACCAAAGTGGATGCAGCTGATGACAAACTAGCATCGAACTTCAGGAATGGCTGAATGCAAAAGAGCACCGACAGAAAGCGCTTGTCCCTTGCTTCCTTTGACACGCTAGCGTACAGCTTGACCAGCGATGTGAGTGCGTGACGCGTGAAAAAGACAAGTTCTCTCTCTGACGATTGAGTCACGTAACTTACTAATTGATCCAACATCTTTGTGTGGACTTGCGGGTGGGATACAAACGACCCGCATTCTTCAAACGCGTTTAATACACGCGACTGCAAACTATTTGAAGTGATGTTCGTGACGGTCTTCATCGAGGGTGGATCAAGCACATGATAAGCAATCAAGGCAGCAAAGAGATCCAACATCTTCTCGACGTTGCGTCCATCCTTGAATTCGAAATCTTTTGCCTGCAGGTAGAGCGCCACTAAAACGGACACAACAGCGCTCGCAATTTCCTGTTCTTCATCTTCCTTCAGCGGCAACAGATGCTCAGAATTCTGATTCACAGCACTTCGTCTCTGGTCACACAGCTGCAATAATTGGCTAAATGCTTCCTCCCATAAAGCTGGATCACGATATACTGAAGCAGACGTCGCACGTCTGAGATTCGAGGAAGCCGTAGAAGGCACCGAAGATGAGACCAGAGCTCCGCCCACAACGCGCATACCAACGCCTGCACGGACAGGTTGCGACTGCGCTATGTGGTCAAAGTCTCCGGCTGAAGATACTTGTAGCAGCGTTTGAAGCGTCTTAATAGCTGCCAGTACCACTTCCTTCGGCATGCCAAACGCAGCATTCAGCGACACGTGCTGCAGTAAGTTGCGCCAAATGGACGCAAACCACGATGAGTGTTGCAAAAGATGAGGCCAGTTCGTCTCCAAGACGCGACTAATACCTGTTAGCATAAGCACACGCGACTCATTCCATTGTTTTTCAGCACTATCCCGTGAATGATGAAACACATAGTTGCTCGAGCTCTTCTGTTCGTCGTTTTCCTGTAAGTTTGAGCTTTTTCTCCCTGGCATCTCACACAATTTGGCCGCAAGTGGCAACACAGTTGAGTTCACAAAGAGCTGCCATTCACTCAGATCGAACTGTGCGCCGTATGTCACAGCAGTGCCAAATAATGTATTGATTGCACTGTTCCGCACTTCGGCGCGATTATTTAATGCTACAGCACTAAACTCGGCAAATATGTAGCCCCAGTGCCCAAGTTTTCGCTTTGTATCGTCACTTTGTAAACGCACTTTCGCCTTGCCAATCATATCTGCCACACTCCAGAGCTCATTCACTGCCGTTAAACTAATGTTGACGTCCTTAGCTTTACTACCAAAACATCCGATGCACTTGATACAGTTGGTCAGGTATTCACTCGGTATCGATACCATCAAGTCGTCAACGATAACACGCAAGCACTTAAACGCCTGCACTTGGGTCTTGCCATCCCCACACTCGCACGCTGCTTGCACTGCCGCTAGTATCAGTGGCCATCCAGCGTTAATTAAGTGCCCACAAGCATTGAGTAGGTCTAGCATGCCAGTCAACACACGATCTTTCATATCTGAACGCGCCAGCTGCAACAGCGGTGCAAACAACTCTTGCTGGTCCACCAAGAGAGAACTAGCAAGACTGCTCTCACCAACTGAGTCCAACGCCTCACTGTTGGTAGTAGATTGCAAGGCAGTTTGCATTAATTGAAAAATTCTGTCCGTCGCAAAGAATTGAAATTGAGCAAGTTGTGGAAACTGCGCCACAGTGAGTGGTAGTTGGGGCTCGAACGTGCTCATGAGCACAAGCTCTCGCATCACGTCTTTAAATGAGCGTTGGCTGCTTGCAGCTAGTTGCGTTAGCATCCGTAGTGCAAAACATGGCATAAATGCACCGGAACCAGTGAGTCCTACACCCAAGTAGCTTTGATAGATGCGCATATGATGATTGCTCGCAAGGTGAGACGCGTCGTCCTTGTCCACCAATGTCCATTCGTCGATAGAGTCAGACGAACTTTGTGCAGGCTTAACGTCTCGTGTTGGGGCGGGTAAACCCACTTGATTCCACGATACTCTTCGAACTGCACCAAGTAGTCTATGTAGGGCCCCAGAACTAAGCTTCAGTGCATCACGAAAGAAATCTACGATCGAGTTACTAAGCATCATCAGCTGTTGCTCTACATCCTCATCTTCAACTCGAAACATGCTAATTCGGTAGTTTTTCGTCGGTAATTTCTGCTGACCAGATTTAAGCTTTGGATCCGTCAGTCCGACAATAATTTCAAAGCCTTCTAGGAGAACACACCACTCAAATTGCGACAATTCTTCTTCCATGACGTGAGCAGCACCAAAAAGAGCTTTCATCGCATGCACTTGGCGCCAACTTATCACCACGACACAACTTTCCCCATCATCCGTCACTGCTTCGTCAGAATATTCGCTTGTGCCGCTACTACCCGTTCCTATCGTGGATATTGAGCCCTTTGAGTTACCTCGAATGCCATCTGGTAACGGAAATGAGAATCCACAAAGCGCACGTAAGCACGTCAGTACCACATCATCCATTTGTTTACACCACATTTCGCGAGCACTTGGACTCTGCATGTTCGCTCGAAGTCGTGAAGCAACAGTAGCCAAGACGTGATACGACTTAAGTGACATGGTTACAAGATCTACTTCGCGACAGTATCGCATGACACAATTCATAGACTGAATAACAGCAGGAGCGACGACAGCCATACATGCTTTAGCCAATTTTTCACAAACTTCTTCACTGTCCGTCGATCGCGATAGCTCAAACACAGAAGCAGCCATATTACTTTGACACGAAGCAGCGACACGGATAGCGAGAAAAAAATGCTGTAGCACGGGCGTCTCTTGTTCATTTAATAATTCGAGCCCCGAGCGTGGCGTAGCTCCATCTGGGCCTTGAGGTCGAAAATCTGATGGTGGAGACGTCATAATGACCGACGACGTCGTACGAGTAATAGCTACGAGCACGCCGTCTGAGTAATTTACCATCGCTGCCACCATATTGGGCTCGAGACATACACGATTAAGCACCTCAAGCGCCAATAAAACTGGCCAGGTAACAAAATTCACACCTCCACCAAGACTAGTAGTACTGGAAGCACTTCCATTTGGCAAAGCCGAGTGAGTTAGAAAGTTTTTAGCATCTTTTAAATTTGCGATCGCATTTCCTGCATTAAATTTTGAGTCAGGCGATTTAGTTGGAGTAGGCGGTGCTTTGTTCATGTCTGGAGAAGCGTACGTCCCTGTGGCGATAATTTCGAGTAATACATGTAGAATTAATGCACACTCTTTATCAAGGCAGTCCGCAAAATGACTCAACAAGGTGCTTGCAAGGCGCATGCCGCGTACCAGAAGCGGAAAAAATGGACCTGCTGTCCCATTGGTATTGCTCGTAGTAATGGACGAATTAGTTGGGCCTGTGATTCCAGATCCTGCAGACCCACCGTGCTTGTCGTTACAGCCTAATTCGAGTACACACTGTACCAAAGGTGTCATTTGTTGCTTCAGTACAGCTTGAAAGTCAAGATCAAGTCGGAATAGACCATAATGGGATGCCAAGACCGTCTCTAGTAGCTCAACACCAAGAGCTGCACTCATGGGTGATCCTGTCGTACGTTTCAGCCATATTCCATTCTCTTCTCGACTCATACAACACAAATCTTGAAATAATACCACTCCCACATGCTTTGCTTCTTGACTTGAATCAACTTTGCCAAATGCAAGCGAAACGACTTGTCGGATTGTCATAGCTGCTGTATTACCTACTAACGAACTGGCACTGCTGCTTGTTGCGTGCAAATGGATACAAATCCATACAGCTTGCATGACCATATCTTCATTACCCACAAGGGTATTATTATCTGTCGAATTCAACGCATAGATGTTACAAATAAAACCCAGCTTTTTTACTTTGGTCTCGCCTGACCTGAAGGACACGACTGCATCTGACTATCTTGAATCGGCTCAATAGCTTTCCTTGACTCTTTCTGTCTCTCTTCATACGCTAAGGTCATCAGCTGCAAGAGAGTTTGAAGCAGTTTGACTTGGACATCGGCATGAGTGTTTTTCTCAGCCTGAATCTGCAATACACGCAAGATACTGCCCACACTAGCAGGCTCAATAGCATCCCAGCTGACCAAACGTTGAATACTAGATAAGGCCAGAACTAAAATCTTGTGCGATGCATTGGTATGATTACATGCCAGCAAAAATGGTCGCAACACGCTCTCGCTTTGGAAAAGACAGTGACCAGGACCAGGTGCACGTCCCTCTACACGAAGAGATGCCGCGTACTGCTGCTGTAGTGCTGGTAACGTCTCTAATGCACGATCTACAGCTTCTTTTACGACGGGATACTTACGCTTGGCTTCAACCCGCAACGCATGCAGGTCGACAGCCAGCTGACGTAGGAAGTCCATGATTGAACTGGGGGGAGCTCCAAACAGACCAATCACGTGTCATCATTCGTTAGGCTATAACTTGGAGTGGGCATTGCTCTTAAATCAATACCCTCGATATCCAGCATTATTATTAAGAACTTAATTGCTTCTAAATAATTTCATAAATCCTAATGCTCATTTTTTCAAGTTTCCGAATGCGATGCTTCTTGATCTTGGAGCTAAACCCTGGAATGAGGTTTCCAATATGAAAATTACTCTTATCAGGACTTTGTGATTCTTGGTAAAACTTGAACGAGTATGCATAAATCACAATCACATTATGTTGTGTGTGGGAGGCATGGACTGGTGCTTTGTTTCATGTGTTTTTGGTGTAACGGGGTTACACGTACCCTAATAACAGGGGGGTGGTGTCACACGAGATGGGCATGGTGTGACTGCACCCAAACAAGAATATGGTATGTGGCTAGGTAGCGAGTAGTTATGCATGTATTTAGATTTTACTATATATTTTTGGGAAGATCTAAACATTTAAAGCTAGGCGGCTTTGCCGCAGATAAAAATAAATTAAAAAATCAGTTTTGGATTTTTAATGGAAGAGCTGATTGCGTTGGGTAAGGCAACAATTACTCTTGGAGCAAGCGAATTTCGATCCCCTAACTCGTACTTGTTCTATGTATAGAACGAAAGGTCGGTGACCTAAATTACGCTTCCTCAAGCGCTAAGCTACGGCAGCCCCTCTGCACTTGGTAGCACTTGTAGTCAAATTACACCTAAGTCATTTAGACTGATCCTCTGTGAGGACGGAGGAATTTTCCTCTTTGCCCCAGGGCATGCAGGCCGGGCTGAAAAGCTGATATCCTTGCTTGGCCCTGAGAGCGTGCAACACCTTGTAGCGCAAGGCCCTGAGGCAATCGGTGCACGTCTAGATGCGTTTTCGAGTCACGAAAACGCGCTGCTAGAGCACCTGCAGCAGAAGATGTCTGCGTCGCTTGCGTCTTAAACGCCTCCGTCGATGACGGATGACTTCCCCCGACCTAAGCCGCTTATGGTGAGCGAAAAGGTATTTGAGGGGAAGGATGGAGAGAATCTCCTGCTCTGGGTGAGAGAGGTCGAGATGGCCA